GTGAGCCAACTTTTAGAGTCAATGAGTGATTTGGAACTCCTGAACACCTTAAACCATTTAAAAAATTCTGCAGTGTGCAGATCAGGAAGCATGTCAACATTTGAATTAGATTTACAAACCGAATCACAACTGAGATACGTCCTTCCTTCGGCATTATTATAGTCATTCATGTATTCATTTACTGCATCCACAATATCCAAAGTTGGTGTCAAAATAGCACGATCTTTTAGGTATTGAATATCACTCTAACCACTGCAGAACATAGGGAATATGTTATCAACAATTGTAGAAATTGGATCCTCAACACAAATTAGCACTAATTCTTCAGGAATATTTATCTCACATTCTCCATGCAAACAATCACCAATTGTTCCATCACCTATATTAGCAATCCACTTTGCAAATTTTTCAATCTCTTTAACTTCAGTATCTGATTGCAATGACCTAAGCCTGAGATTCTTTGTTAGCCTAAATACTTTACAGCTTCTCCAAAGATATGATGCATTTATACTTGCTCCAACAATATCTTGCCTGGTTCCCTTTGGAATGACTGGTAGAATCTGTCTGAAATCTCCACCTAACACCACGGTTTCCCACCAAAAGTCATATCCAAGCTTTTTGGATTTTTAGCACGCATGATATCTCTCATAGTACAGTCTAAAGCTTCAAAGCAAAACTTATGCATCATCGGTGCCTCATCCCAAATGATCAACTTACTTTGCATTATCAACTGTGCCAAAGGACTACTTTGACTGATGTTGCAGGTTGAATCTTCATTAACAGCTATTGGTATTGAAAATCTTGAATGCGCAGTTCTACCTCCTGGTAGTAGAAGAGATGCTATGCCACTTGATGCCACGTTTAAAACTATATCACCCTTTGACCTTAAAGCAGAAGACAATGCTCTCCATAAGAATGTTTTTCCCATTCCACCGTATCCATAAACAAAAAACAGGCCTCCCAGATTATTCTCAGCATCTTGCAATACTTCTCCATATATAGCCCTTTGTTCTTCGGTGAGTTGATGCACCAATTTATCATTCTATTCCATCATGACATTAATATCATATGCTAATTCCTCTTGTATCAACCGATTGGTGGTTCTAGCATGATTCTCTAAATCCGGTACTGGCATCAACAGAAAGTCTTTCAAACTCTTTCCCATAGCAGAAAACATTATTTGTATCTCATGAAGTGCAAAATTCTTTTTCTCATCTTCAGATAAAATCAAATCTGTGATAGTATTATCAATCGCATATTATAACTATGTGTATACAAATAATTTGTACAACATGAAAGTACAGAAACAAAATATTACCTGTAATCCCCAATTGAGCACTAATCTTGAATTGTGCATCCTCAGCCAAATAGTGCCAGGCAGCTTCCCACACAACTTCTGGTTTTCCCATTGAGTTTGACATTAATAGGGTGACAAACAATATTCTCAAATTTACACCTGTCGCCCATTGACTTTCTTCTTCTATAGCATGAACATATTCCCTGTCGCCGTCGACTAATCCTCTTGCAGAACACGCATCCCTGAAAGATTCATATTGCACACCGTCTACTTTTTTTTTATGTCCAAAAAACATGTGGGCCCTTTTACTTTATTCAAAAGACATTTCAAATAAAATATCTCCCCTGTACCAGGTGGCACATAGAAAACTCTACCTATTGCAAATCCTCTTTTCCTTGGTTGCCATTTCCTAACATCTTTCTTCCATACAAATTTAGTTGGCATTTCGGCATATGTCAGTTGTCTTGCAGCTGGGTAGGTTTTATTTGCCTCAAACCATTCTAAGAACATGATTGTTGGACGGCTTAGTATGTTATCAACTGGATCATCATCTGCAAATACGCCACTTTGTTGATTTGGCAAGTGAAAGCTTAATCGCTCAACAGCTGGTGTCCTTAACTGTATATCAAATCCAAATAATCGCCAAGATGCTTCACATGGAGAGATGTACCAAAAATCATAGAACATACTGATTTCATCAATAACTTTTGGACATTCTGCATCGCAGTTGGCTTTGAAAAACTCTGCTGTTACCCTGTCATGGCCCTTGTTGACGTACTTGAACAAATACTTGATTGAACGGGACTGATTACACCATCCCACGTTAATATGAGCTCTTTACTTTTGCAATAAATGTCTATTGTGTGGTACTACGTACCTATTATCCAACTGAATACCATTACGCATGACAGACCGGCCATTGTCTCGTCTGTGATATATAGGATAACCATGCTCGTCCACAATTGACAAATTAACAAACTTCTTTGGAAAGTGTTTAGTACATTTACCATTCGCCATACATGGAGAAGTCAACTGTGCTTTCCGCAAGGACCATGCATCATAAATTCCTCAACAACTTTGAAGTATTCTGGATCTGTTTCTTGGTCAGGTAACTCAGCTAAAATAATGTTGTCCAGATTTATACCACTTTGCGCTCGATTGTTTTTATTCAGGAACAAAAGTATATGAGCATGCGGTAGACCTCTTTTTTGAAACTCTATGGTATAGATCACTGTTAACAATGAAAAAGATAAGAAAGTTTAGAATAGAGCTAAATCTTGGGACATTGCTATGGGTTAGAAACTTCATCATTAAAATAGTAGCTTATTTTTCACGTACCTCCAATGACTGGGCCAAATAACTTGTTCTTTCGACATTCTGATAGTAGGGCATCCAACTTCAATTTGAATATTCTACAAATTATGTCTGGGCGATCTTCTGGCCTTAATTTTCTTGTATTCAAGAAGCGTTGTACCTCAGGCCACTTGGGGTTGCAGAATTGACACGGTTGTCCAATTTCATTGTTCGTATCATAGATATACAGCTGTGCGAAATGTGGTTTCTTACCGTCTACCGAAAATAGAGTACCAATGTAGTGGAAGTTCTGGCCATTTATACGGAAGATTGGGGGACCACCGTTGCTGTTCACGTTTCGGTCTATTTTACCACCCATCGAAGTGAAGCAGAACATACTATTGTATGCTCTAATGTTGTGTAGAAATTGCTTGTTTTTTTCTCCTTCTCCAAAAAAAAAGATCATATATAGCTTGTGGTGGCACCATCGTTTGTGGCAATTGGATCTTACCATTGTTGCAACACAGGTTATATTTTGGGTGGCCGCGATTAATCTGTTTTGTGTGTCCTTTCTTCGTACCAAAAAAGCGCTCCACAGTGTTGACATGTTATAGTTGCATCACCAAGATCTTGGTATTCCACTAAGTTGAGAATTCAAAACCGATTAATTAAACTGTAACATATGAATTAGAAGACCGAATAATATTATACATACCAGTATTGAAAGCAGTCAGTTCTGTAATTTGAGACTTATTTGCTTGTTCGTCACCTGATTGGTTAAAATTTGAAATTCCAATTGTCGACTGCATTAGTACTGTAACTTGGTTTGTGCACGATGTCTCGTTGCATTGTTTTGTACCTACCATGTACATAAATCATCTTATCTATAAATATTTTGAAACATATCCAAAAAATTGTAATGACATTATAATTTGTATACAAATAATTACTTACCATTTGCACTTTCTTGGATATGTTGTTGTGTAATTGGTGACAATCCTACGTAGAATATATCATATTAGTTTCCCAAAAATAATAATCCTTTTGGGTGTAAGAACTAAATATGACTGAAACAAAGAAGTAAACCATGAAACATTTGCAAACTACTACTATTTAATATTAAACGTACCATAATTGTCTTGAACGGTTTTAGAAATTATATCCATATTGGAAACTCTTCAAATCTTGAAACAAATCTCGGTTGACAACATTACACTGGATAACAGTTTTACCCTCATCCATGCATTTCCTTTTGTTGCAGTTTGTGTTACCTAATTAATTTATAGTTTACTTTTTTTAGCTGGCATAAAAAAAAAAATTATTAAGCAACAAAAATGATATAAAAAATACTTACCATTGGATATATCCTGTAGAGGTGGTCGTTTGTTCTCAGACATTGTGAAGGTACCTTTTATATAACATATTTAACATTTTAATGATAGATTGTTTATAATATGTAACTGGAATAAAAACAATTAAGTAATTGGCCATTAACTAAAAACTAACCGTTAAGTATATCGCTTGTTGCACTTGAAGGTAATGGCTTTCGTCCTCCTAACACAAAATGCCTTGATTTACTGTTGCTGGTTGTATATTCCATGCTTCGCGTACTAATTTGTATATCCAAAGATTCTTTATTAACTGAAAAGACATAACATGTTTGTAATATGTTATAACCTGTTAAATAAAATTTTACAAACTTTAAATAGTTTACCTGTTGTAAGAGCACTTTTTGGTCTATCATTTGAATTACAATATGGTTGTGGTGTGTATTCCACTTGTGGATCATTAGTATTCTCTTCTGAATGGTATCGTTGTTCTCTACATTTTATGCAATGACAAAAAAAAAAATATTGTCAAAAACCATACATGAATTAAAATCTGTATTAAAATTACAATGGTACACACAGTACCGTGTAACCTAAATATAATATATGCAATATCGAAACGCTAACATAGTTAATAACGTTTTGTGAATAATGTACATTTTGTATTAATTAAAACTGTTTCTGACATTCACGGTCCACAATCTTGCGTGGATCATGACAAACACAGTACTAAAAAATGCCACATAGTACAGTGCAAGAAATAATGCAATGTAAAAATGGTAACATATTTAAACACTATTAGAAGCTATGTATTATAAGAAATAATGCATTACTTTAAATCGTGAATACATTAACCATGGTCTACACAGTACCGGTGTAACATAATTAAAAATCAAATAAAAAATGGTAAATGCAACTAATGTACATTTCTTACAAAAATAATGTACCTTAAATACACAAATAATTAAAACAATTAATATGTTGTTTTGAAATGTTGTTAGTGTAGAAGAAACAATTTTCCTCATGTGGTATGTTGTTTTGAATGTTGCAATTATGATATCTGTTTGTAGTTGGAGTATGCATATTTGCTATATCTTGAATGCTTTATTAGGTGACCATCATTAATGTTTTGACATATACTAAAATGATTATGATTGTTCAATTTTTTTTTTTTTGGAAAACCACAATGCCAGTATACTATTCCTGTAATTGAATACACATGTTCCCCCTTATATTTTTGCACTTCTTCATTTTACACATGTACAAACACTGTTTTAAAGTCTTTTGGCAAATGATGAATCTTTAAATCTGATGCCATTATTGTACACTACAGTTTAATACATGTTAGATGATGGCCTGCTAACTGTGATGGTAATTATTACTCAATGTAGAACTATCTATAAAGAGATAGTATATTTGATCACTTACTAAATGAGAAATACATATTTTTCAGATTTTAATATAGGACTATATACTTATACTCTGATGAATTCTATTATTTTGTTTAGAATTTGATCAGTTTGACCAAGTCTAGATTTAAATGAAAGTAATGTTGATTTAAATGTCTATAATGTAGGACCGTGTATAAATGGCTAAACTATTTGATTCCTTTGAATTTTAGTTTTTGAATGACATAATTTGTGTGTTTGATTGATTATCTGTGAAGTGTTACATTTTGACTATTGTTAGATGTTATTATTTTTTGGTAGTTTTGGTAATGAAAATCTTTTAAATGTGTGATTTTTAAAGTAAAATAGCATTGTGTATACAGTTTAAATATTGACAGATGGCTATATTTAAATCAGTTTAGAAAATTGTGTTCGTTCTTGATTCTTTGACAAATGATGAATCTTTGTTTCTGATGCACATATTGAATGACTAAAATAGATTTTTAATACATGGAATCTTTATTTGTTTTGACATTTTTTTTTTTGCACAAAGATTGAATACATGTTACATGATGATTTGTGGCAGTGCTGCCAGATTCTTAGATATCACAGCTTCTTAGTGTTCACATTACAAATTAGTAGATTATATATTATGTAGTATGGGATGAGTATTTACTCTTCAAAGTACACAATAGTTGTTAGTTTTGTAAATTGTAGTTGTTGAAATGTTTCTATTTTAGATGTGTTAACATAAAAAACAGTCCTCTAATGTGTATTTTTTTTTTTTTATACAGAAATTGACATGATGATATAGTTTGCCAATTTGAAAATACCAGTGTGATCTTGTAATGTACTAAACATCAGTGTGAGTTTTTACTGGTAATTTGAAGGCTCTAACGTGTATCATATTTTTTGTACAATTCTTGAAAGTTTCTTGAATACATTGATTTTTTTAAAATTTTTTTGAAGTAATGTATTCTATTTAGTAAGGTTTTTAATTTAGTTAGGACAATCATAATTAGATTGGATTTTCAGCAAGCTATACTATATATATATATATATATATATATATATATATATATATATATATATATATATATATATATATATATATATATATATATATATATATTTTAATTCACCAAGCCAATTTTAATTTTTAAGTAATGTTCATTTAAAAGTCTAGAATATAGGACTATCTTTTTTTGAATGCTACTACTTGTGAGTATTAATATTATTATCTGTGTTTATAATTGTATAACCTAGGATTAGTTTTCTATGGTTAGAATGAGTCTACTGTCTGTATCCTATTAGATAGGAGTAGTTAGAGGTAGACTGAGATATACTCTCCTGTAATTCTATCGTTGGTTAATTGGAATTGATTTTGAATTCTCATATGGTATCAGCCTAAACACGATCCTCCACCACAAAAACGCTACCCCCCTACCCATGTCGTCGAACTCCTCCGATCGCACTCCATCTGCCGTCGGCGGTTCATCTCCGGCGAACCCGAACCCCCTCGCCGGAGCACACCACTTTATATCCATGAAATTAACCTCTAGGAATTTTCTGTTTTGGAGAACCCAGCTAATACCCTTTCTTAGAGGCCAGGATTTGATCGGCTTTGTGGATGGAACCACCCCATGCCCGGCAGCCACTCTCACCACGGTCTCCGGCAATTCCGGTACCAGCACAACCACTACGGCGACAGCCCCGAACCCAGCATATAAAACATGGATACTCCAGGATCAGTCGATCCTTTCTCTATTAATATCCTCGATTTCAGATGAGGTATTGCATCTCGCGGTTGGCCGGAATACCGCCGCCGACGTTTGGAAATCAATCTGCTCCGCTCTCGGCTCCAACACGCAGGCTCGTTGTCTGAGTTTGCTGGGCCAATTCCAGGCGCTCCAGCAAGGAAACTCCACGCCGGGCGATTACCTTGGACGGGCGGAGCTCCTGGTAGAAGCACTCGCGCAAGCTGGACAGCCTCTCTCCATGGCCGAACAGAACCTTTACGTTCTGAGAGGCCTGAGGCCGGAGTACCGTGCATACGCTACGTCTCTCACCGCTCATGCGCCGATGTCGCTCCAGCATCTCGCTGATCATCTGCAGGCCGCCGATTTCATATTGGCAGATGACTTTCCGGACGCTGGCAGTGGTTCGCCGTCGGCGCTCTATGCAGGCCGAGGCAGTGGTGGCCGACACTCCCAGTCCAGCAATAATCAAAACAGCGGTGATGGTGGCCGGCAGTCCCAGTGGCGTGGTGGAAGAGGTGGCAGAAATCATCGGGGTGGCCGAAATCAGCGCGGTGTACCACGTTGTCAAATTTGTAGATCGCAGGGACATATCGCGGTCTACTGTTATAAACGGTACACGACGCAGCCACCTGCGCAAGCCCATGTTGCAGTGTCCGGCGAGTCCCCGGGCACATCCGTACCACCGGCCGACGCGTGGTATCCTGACACGGGTGCCACGGCTCATGCCACTCCCGATGCCGGCATGATAACATCCGCGGAGGAGTATAATGGCCCGGATACGCTCCGGGTGGGAAACGGTATAGGTTTAGTAATCTCACGGGTTGGCCATGCATCAATCCCATCTTTGTCAAAACAATTGTTTCTATCTGATGTATTACATGTCCCGAAATTAACTGTTCCCCT